ACCATAAACCATAAAACAAGGAGACAATGACCCCCCCGCTCGCCGCCGAAGGCGACGCGCACCGACCGACCCCGCGCCCGACACCGTCCCCTACTCCCGCGACGCCCGCAACGCCCCTGCCGCCGTCCTCCTCCGCCCTCGGTTTTTACTCGGCCCGTGGTGTTCATCAAATAGTTCGCTGAATTTTTTCGATACATCAATGGATGCTATTTTCTTAACATTACGGTGCAAGCATGCGACTGTAACACAGAAAACGCGGTTTAAACTGTCGTCGGAGATCGCGGCCGCCGCCATGATTCAATGTTGTTGACAGACGACAGGGCAAACGACGCGCGCGCTCAACGTGAATATCGCGAGAGTTTGCACCGATGTAAACCCTCTACACAAAAATGTAGAGGGTTCTTTGAAAAAAATGCCGACCGTAAAGTTTTTTTTCGACGTAGAAATTCTCGGTCGGTCGGGTTACCGGAAACACACTACTTTTTTTTTCTCCGCCTTAAGAACACAAGACAAAGGTTCGCCTGCTGTCACATAATTATATTTCCAGCCAGAGGGAAAAAAATCTCGTTCAGTGAGCTTGTTGCTCAGACAGTGAGGTAAATGTTTGCACAATCCAACCCAACAAAGAAACCTGTAGTAGTTGTGGGAATTTGCAGCATTTGCAAATAATCACAGTCCTCTTGGTGTGCTGTGGAATAATTCCCCGCTCTCCTTCCACTTTGATTTGTGTGATGTATCATCGATCGATTAAGCGGTTCAAACAGACAGCAAGGCATATTCCAAAATGTAAGCTTCAATTTAGCAATTGCAGACAACGACCAATCAGCGTAAATTTGTCTGTCGCTGGGAAAGTCAGACCTTCAAATGTGGGGTCTGAAAATTGAGATCCTGCCCGAGCTTCCCCCCCTTGTTCCTCCATCACTTACCAATTTAGAAATGTACTCATTTAGAAATGGAAGACAATTCAAATCAGTCACGTTTGACTTTGCACTTTCTTTGAGACTCCTCTTCAAGCCTGTGTTTAAGGCTAGCAACTAGTCGACATCACGATCTGAATGTCATTGTGCAGTCGAAAAGTCAAATAGTCTGCACAACCCCGAGGCAGTAGATTGTCACTGCTCCGTCATGTTTACCTTTGTTGATGTGATCCTATTTGTGTAGCTGACACGGCTATTGCGATCCTGCTTACACACCCAGTAGAGGAAACGCAAACCAACACTCAAACTGAACTGTCACGTTTGGTGGGAAAATGACTCGTGTCTTTTAGTCGCATAACAGGAAAATCCTACTGAACCGATTTCCAGATTTTTGCTGACCGGCATGCCAAAGACTAGGGGAAGAATGGCAACATCATCAATGTATCATTAGAAATGAAAAAGTGACAAATTATTTTAGTTCTTTTTTTTAATCAAGCACACAAAAAATCAATTTAATTTTCAGGCTTGGATCAAAATGTAGGAATTGCAAAATGGACCACAGGAGTGTTTGATTTTAATAGATAAGACTGGCAACACAAGTTTTGTTCACTTACAGCTTTCTTGAACAAATTTTGGGGTGCGGCATCAAAAACTGATCTCAGTTGTTCTTTTTCATGTCAAGGTTTTGAGCTATTGGATACTCGCTTTCTCATACGAAGCAAATGTGTACGTATCTACTTTGTAAATAAAACCCTCAGATGGGACGGTTGCAAGCTTTGAAATCTAAAAAAAACAACATAAAAGGAAATATGCCTATGGTTGCAAGCTTAAGAGAAAAGCCAGCACTAATCCTTCATTTCTACTCTGCTAGCTTTCTCTTTGCAGATATTGGAGGTACTGACGTATTGGGAGCTGCACACACGTCTCACCGCACACACGTCTCAATTGTAACTGTGCAAAAAAAATCGTCACGTAGCTGTCGATGAATCTAATCGCAGTCAGCTCTTCTTACTGCAATCTTATCAGTGGAAGTTTGCTTATCCCACGGGATAGCCGTGGAGAAAAAAAAACTTATCATGCAAGGGGAAAAAAACGTCCTGTAAATTTGGAATCAGCATGTTTTAGTTTGAATCAGCATAAATATCTAACTCAACAGATTTCTTTTTCTTTCAAATTGTTCCCCAGTGTAATTGGTCATATTTCATTTAAGTTTGGTCACATATGAACTCAAACTCAGTCTTGTGGCCTCTTTTTCCCTTTCATCTGTTTGATCTGAGCCTATAATTGAAGTATGACAAATCAGAATTTTATCCCAGGTTTAGCTTCCGATTAAAAAAAAACAAACAAAAAAAAAACCACACAAACAAAAAAAAAATAATCATTTGACTTCTTTTTGATATTTGATTGCCAATTTCAAATGGAAAGAACAAATTACACATAGGACATGTTTGACATGCCTTTGCCGCCTTCACTTGTCAGTAAATTGTGACTGATCATTGCTGCCACGTAAAGGGAAAGAGTGCAACGTTGCCTTTTTATTCCCTTGCTTATTTTACTGTTAGAAGCACAAAGGCAAGTTTTCAAATCGCTGGCTGTTTGCCCTGTATGGAGCATCTCGCATAGTATTGCCCTCGCCTGGGCACTGGTCTGCTGAATGCTCTTCTTGCAGTTTGATATTTTCATCTCTCTTTTTTAGAAAGTGCAATTTCTGTCATGAGGCTCTGACATGTTGTTTCTACTTTCTGCAGGTACCCAAAAGTTTGCAGTCTGCATGGGATGTCAGCGTGATGGAAGCTGAACATTTGCTCTCCGCGCGGCAATGGAATGCCAAGTGTTATCCTGCAGTCTCTCTCAATGGAGAGGGGTCACTACATGGCCCACCTCAGGAGACCTCCTCTTTCAATGAAGATGCTGGGGAACTCATATCCCCTCATACTGTTCCCAGAAGCACTGAGCACCACATTGCCAAAAACTCAGCAGGAACACTGTCCACTGAGAGCAAAACCTGCCAAAAGAAAAAAAAATGTCTGTCAGACATATTTGGGCATATTATCAGCGGGTCAACGGTATCACCGGACTTCACAGATACACTGGACCTTCGTACACCAAGCCAGGCACTGCAAGAAGACCCTGACGTGGCCTCACCTTATACGGATCTGGAAACTGTTCCTGTGTTGCATTGTCCAAAGCGCTTAACGTCGTCTCCAGTGCAGGAACTGGACAAGCCCTTCGCACAAGTAAAAACGATGTTCACAGAAACAGTCCAGCATTCTGAAGATGCACATAATTCTGATTGCGCTTTTTCCGACATTTGGGACCGTAAAAATCACAGATTAAAGGACGATGAAGGAACTTCACACAGACCAATCAAAAAGCCACCTGCAAATCTGCTTGGCAGTGGTCGTCTCGAGACGACAGCCGTGGAAGCAGAGGAAAAGGCTGAGCTCCAAAATGCACGGGCTGCAAGCCAAATGTCAGGCCACCCTCATGATTGTCGTCTGAAAGAACCCCGTGATTCAGCTCTGTTAAAAACTGTAACGTCTCCCTGCTGGGAATCAATCACTGATAAGTCATGCTGTGTAAATCAGAGGACTCCAAAAAAGCGTACGAGGAAGCCTGACAAGAAAAAAAATAGTGTTGGTACATTAATAAAGTCTCCTAATGTCCACCAAAGGGATTCCTTTCCTCATCCCGTTCGAATCAAGACGGAGAATGTTAGCCCTGTTAGCTCTTCATCTTCCTCCCCCTCTTCATCATTGTGTCCCATGGATGCGTTCCTGGATATGAAGGAAGTCACATTTAAGTCTCTTGTTGACGAGAACGGCGACTCCCAGCTTGCGGCATTTCGGCCCGATTCTAGTTATAAATTCAGTACCTTCCTCATGCTCCTCAAAGACATTCATGACACGAGAGCAAAGGAGGGGAAGCCCCTGGTTGTCCCACCACCACCTCTGCTGATCAAAAAGGAGCCTTTAGTTATTCCTTCTCCTCCGTGTAGTGAGCCACTGAGGGGGTCTTCTGGCACTTTGAGCCCAGCAATCAAAACAGAGATTGCAAAGTCGGGAAAATGCTCAGCAGTGAAAACCAAGTGGAGGACGAAATCAGCCGGCACTTTTCAATGTGAAAAATTTCCTTTGCGGTTTGAGAACTCTGACAAACAACGGCGAAAACAGAGACTTCCTGCCAAAGTGAAGCTTCAGTTACCTGGCCTTTCCTCCGACATGGCCGATTTGGCTTTCGGCAGGGAATTCGTCAGTGGCCACGCTGATTTAGCTGAATTCGATCATGCGGTTCCCTGTGATCCCGCTGCCACTCACCTTGACAAGAGGTCCGAATCTCCCATTGCCCCAAAGAAGCGCTGGCAGATGGTTGAGGAGAACGAGATGAACGGATCATACGCTACGAGAGCATCTCCAGATTTTCATTTGGATGGTGAGAGGCTGTCAGACAATAACTCATTCTCTGAGGAAAGCAGTTCAGCCGGTAAGACAAAAAAACTACTGTTTGGCTTGGCCACATCGATAGTTAAAAATGACTCCAAGAGGGTTTTTGTGTGTTCATGCAGGTCATTTTGAGAACAAACGCCTCCGGAAACCAACTAAAAGACTCCTGGAATCCACGGAGGAATATGAACACATTTTCGCCCCAAAAAGGAAATCCACAAAAGACATCTTAGACTCACCCGATACGGTAATATGATCATTGCCGTCCCATACGGTACAACACACTCATGACCACAAAGGAAGTTACTTTCCTTCCCCAGGTGCAGGCACTGTTCATCAGAAGAGATTTTCTATAACTGTCACTTGAATTCATTTGTTAATGCGTCTAAAAGAGAGACATTGATTTGAAACTGGAAGGCAGCCAGGGCAATTGGAGCTTTGGTTCGAGTATTCCAGCCCTGCTGCCGGTAGCATCCTATTTTAATACAACCTTTGGTCCACAATTCCACATCATTGGAACGTTTGTGATTATATTCTGGGAAATAAAATGAAATCAGATATTTACGGTACATGCTCACAGAAATGAAATAAGACGTATAATAGGAATGCAAAATGACAAATAGAAACAGCAGGTTTACGGTACATGCTCACAGAAATGAAATAAGACGTTGTATAATAGGAATGCAAAATGACAAATAGTTAGAAACAGTAGATGGTCAGTAGAGCTGCATGTAAACTATTTCTGCACAGCAGGACTAGTGAAAGAGCGACTTCAGTTTCATGTTTGTGTTGAAGTGAAAGATTCAATAATTAACCCCCGTGTGGCTTACGGTAGTCAATTGTAAAAGGTCATATTGATACCTTGTATGTGTCCCTCTCAGGTTCTTTATAATGCCAGTGATAACGTGTCACCGGTCCTGGATCTCAGAATCACATCGGAGACACTTGGCTCACCATCAGTCTCCATGGCGCCTCCTACGACTCCAGCTACAAAGGCGCATGGTCAATCTCAGGATCAATGCCCCCCTGATGGGCTGCCTACCTCCCCAGCCCCAACTCAACCCTCTCATGATGCGGTCACAGCCGAAGAAGCTAATCTACTCCCAAAATCTGGTATTGTAGAGTTTCCACAATCCCATGTCTCATTCCTGGATATTGCATGCTTATATCATTCTGCTCCTTGTAACAGATTCAGAAAGAAAAAGGCCTCGGAAGCTGTCTCAAAAGGTTTTGGATTGTACCATTGAAGAAGTGTCCGTCTCTCCAGAGGAGGAGGTAAGTAGTGTGAGTGGCTGCTCTTTGTGCAGTCTTTGACTCACGAGGCACAACTTTCATTACAGCCACAACTGGACTGGATAGTCCAGTCTCACTTTACACACACACAAATGGTTATGTCTTTGTTTGGTTGAGCAAAGCAGTGTGCACTTCACCTAGAGCAGGGGTGCCCAACTAGTCGATCACGATCGACCGGTAGCCCGCGAGCTGGTCCCAAGTCTATCGCGGGGGTCTAGGGGAATATGGATTAAAAAAAAAAAAAAGTGTGTCTGTGTGCGTGTTATTCATATTCTATATTTTTGTGTTTGTACCGTATTTTCCGCACGAAAAGACGCACTGGATTATGAGGCGCACCTTCAATGAATGGTTATTTTGTAAAAAATTTTCATATATTAGACGCCTCGCACTAAAAGGCGCAATCTACAATGCGTCCACTAGATGGTGCTACGCTCCTTCCATTCAACTCGAGAGGCGTCCGTTCAACTTGAGAGGCGTTCATGACCGCCTCTGAAAAATGTAAATTAACGTTACTGTACTTAAATGAAACTACGAAAATTGAAAATAATGCATCAAAACAGAAAATCAAGCGAGGAAATCACAAAATAAATTCTATATCCCACCTACAGAATTTATTTTGTGATTTCCTCGCTTGATTTTCTTCGTGGTTTCATTGATGTAAGAATTAATTTACGTTTTTTATAGGCGGCCATGAACGCCTCTCGAGTGGAACGGAAGAAAGCACGGAGACAGACAAAGACGAACAGTACTGTTAAGATATCATTCCTCTCTGTTAGCTGGATTTGAAAGAAACAATGACAACCGCATGGTCAACCACTAAATTGCGGAGTTCAAGCTAACAGTACCTGTACTTGCTGAGACTGTGAAAACCATTAATAAAGTCTGCGTTTAAAAAAATAAATAAAACCACAACCACAGCTCTCATTTTTTCAACAAACTCAGGTGTGTCTTTGTCCGTCTCCTTCCCTTCTTTTCTTCCGGTCAACTCGAGAGGCGTTCATGACCGCCTCCGAAAAACCCAATTGCATTTCCTTTATCGTAGCTCCAAGAGTACAATCAGATATAAGATAAAGCAAGAAAACCTTGCAGTAATGACATCATAAAACAGAAAATAATTAAAACTTTTTTTTTTTGTTGTTTCTCACCGTTCAATCAGGAGCGAACGGTGAGATTTGGACCTGGGCCTTCAGTATGAAGTGATGTAATCCAACCCTGTGGCATTATCTAAAGCAAAGCTATATGGTTGTTTTCGATACAGTAAATATTCTCTAGTGCGGACTCGTGTTTGCGCTGTCCAATTTGTCCTGATAACAGAAATTCCTCATTTGGGAAATGAGCATGGTGCATGTCCTTTATGAACCTGCAAGTATGTTGACAAAATGCACGTGTAACAACACAATGAATAAAATACAAAAATATACTGTTTATACTTTATATAACAAAAACTGCAATACAGGTGTATCCAAAAAAAAAATCACAACAGTAAAATTCGTACAGTATTTAATGTTTATTTTGTTTTCTGTCTTGGGAAAAAAAGTGTGTCTATTTTGGATTGTTTGGTTGGATGCATTCTTTGGTTTATGACAATTTTTGCCTGCGTGTCATACAGTTTTGTTGCTAGTTGCAAGTAACTGTCCCGTTAATCACCGATGTCTGGTAATTCTTGTGCAGACTGATTGATTTGTTGCCATTTGCATTGCTTCCTCGCTGGATGGTGGCTTGTCATCAGGAGTTGAATCGATGCCTTGTTTTTTAAAG